CCGCATCAAGCAGCCCGCCCCCACGGCGGCCACCGAGGAGCCTGCCGACGCCGCCGAGGGCACCGATGCACCGGCCTCGAAGCGATCCTCGATCCTCAGCGTGCTCACCACCAAGATGCTCAACCTCGGCTCCGTCACGGCAGAGCCCGAGACCGGCGCCGCTCCTGCCACCTCGCCCGCCTCCGCCGCTGCACCTTCTCCGGCGCCCGGTTCACCCTCCGTCTCCAGGGCGCGGCCTCTGCACCCGCTGCGGACCGCCTCGCCGGCGCCCTCGACTTCGAGCACCGTCTCGCGCCAGCTGACGGCCGAGGGCACGCCCTTCTCCGACGACCCGCTCATCTCGGCCATGCAGCGCATCCCCGACGGTCCCAGCAGTGCCTCGTCGGTGTCGCTCGTGTCGTCGTCTTCGTCGTTTGCCAGGTCCGCCTCGCCCTCGTCGCCGTACAGCCTGCAGAAGAGCGACACGTTTTCCTCGATCGCGTCGAGCGTCGTCTCGACCGACGACGACGGCGTAGAGAGGTGCCAGGCCTGCTCGTGCAGGCGCGGCTGCAGGACCTGGCACCTCTCCCTCCCTCCACCCGCAGCGCAGGACGAGGACAAGGAGAACAAGGCAACGGCAGCAGCGACCGAGGCGCCGGCGCAGGCGCAGGCGGCGGCCGAGGGTGGCGGCAAATCCGAGGACCGGGCAAAGAACGGCGACGACGAGGCCGACGCGGCCAAGCCGCACACGTGCCCGTGCAACCACCATCTGACCAAGCTGAGGAAGCGCACGTCGTCGTCGCACCACTTCCACCGCATCCAGCAGGTCGTCAAGGGCACCAAGCGGGTCGCCCGAGACATCCGCAACGTCCTCTGAGCAAGCCCGTCAACCCGCCTCTCCACGTCGTCAAGACCGGCTCTTGACGTATGATCGCACGTACGTACGTAGACTTTGTATGTTCAGTCCAGCATTCCCGGTAATGATGGCCCTTCCGAACCGCATCGACCCGCCTCGTGTGATGCCGTCGGACCTTTGCTTGGCCCGACAGCCGAACAGGTGTGGCAAAAGGCGGGCATGCATGCTGCTAGATTCTCCGTGACTGTCGGGATTCTTTAGACGATTCCAGAGAACAACGACGCCAGGCACGACCGCAGCGTCGCAAGGGCGTCGATCGAGTCGTGTCTCCGAGGTGGAAGGACGGGAGTCGAGGACTGGGAGGAGGGGCGAGGAGCGGCCGCTCACGATCCGGTGTGCAGTGCAGCGCCGCCGCTGGTGGCAGGAGCGCCACCGAGGACCGACTGACTCGGTCCATCCTGCTGCGGCTGCTGTTGCTGTTGCTGTCCACCATTCGCCTGCACCTGATCCGCACCTGCACCTGCACCCGCACCCGCACCCGCACCCGCACCCGCACCGGCAGACTGGGCGGGCGTCTGGGCCTGGTTGAGTTTCTGGAAAAAGGCGTCCCAGTTTGCAAAGTCGAGCGACTCGCCGGGTATGCTGTCGAGCATCAGGGTATCGAACCCGCCGCCGGCACCGCCAGCCGAGCCCGTCAGCTGGCCGTTGCCGTCGAGGACGAATTCGGCGGGCGCCCAGTAGCCGTCGTTGAGGTGCGGGTTGAGGTTGAAGTTGGGGTCGCCCGGAAGCACCGTGTTGCGCGTCACCTGCAGCTGGCCCGTCGGTCCGCCAAAGGGAAGCTGGAAGTTGGGGTCCGACCCGAGCGCCGCGCCGCCATTGATGCCCGGCGAGAGCGGAACCATGGTCACCAGCCTCGAGCCGCGGCTGCTCACCGGTCGACCCTCGGCGTCCTGCCAGACGTCTCCGCCAAGGTAGGTGAGGTTGGCCCCCGGCGGCGCCAGCCCAGCTCCTCCGCCATCCGCCCCTCCATCGGCTCCCACGCTCGCAGCAGGCGCAGGACCGGTGCCCGCTGCAACGTCCGAGGGCGTTGGGAAGACAATCGTCGGCGGACCGTCGAGCGGCATGCCCGAGCCCGCCTGCGTGCCCTGCTGACCATCGAGGCCGCTCGTCGCCAACGCCGTAAATCCGTTGGGTGCTGCGCTGCTGTTGGGGAGCTGCGCCTGGGCGATGCCCTGCTTGGCCGACGCCATGAGCGCCGCGCGGTACTGCTCAAACGTCTGCCACCCGCCGTCGCCGTCGAGCGAGGTCCGCACCAGCGCCGGCACCCGGTTGCCGTCCTCGGTCTCCTGCAGGATGAGGGTGCCCTTGGGCAGGTCGCGGAGCATCAGCTCGCGCTTGACCGCCACGTAGACGCCGCCGCCCGGCTTGGAGGCGTCGGCGCGGAAGACGATGCCGCGGATCTGGTCCTGGCTACCGCGGTTGGTGACGCCGGCGGTCGGGTTGAGGCTGCCGGTGCACGGCGAGTTGGCGTAGGCGCCCGATGCCGACTCGTAGAGGAGCGTGATAATGTCGATCGTCTTGCGCCGTGCCGACAGGTTCTCGCCGAGGTTGTCGGCGTTGCGCTGACGGACCATGACGTCGTGGAGCTTCTTGAGGTGGCCCAGCGCGTTGGGGTCGCCGCGGCGCACGCAGGCGTGGTACTGCACCGTGGCGCACGACACCAGGCAGTAGGTGACAAAGTGCATCGAGTCGAGGTAGAAGTCGTTGTTGTCGACCCAGGCGATCGACTCTGCCGAGTAGCGGATCATCGACGTCATCCGCTCAATCGTCAGGCTGAAGTTGAGGTGCGTCGGGCAGACGTACGAGATGCGCATAAAGACGCGGAAGAAGAGCATCGTCAGGCAGGCGTAGCCGACGTGGAGGATGCCGGCCGGCGGCGACGACTCGGGCCCCTGAAACTGGAGCTCGGCGGGCAGCGATTCCTTCCACCGGTCCATGTCGTTGAGCAGGCTGGTGATTTCGTCGTCGGTCGCCTTCATCAGGCCCGTCGGGCTGTAAATCGTCTTCATCACGCGTCCAAAGAGGATGCAGAGCTTGAGCATCTCGGTGTTGAAGGCGAACGGGCGGTCGGTGGTCGGGTCCGACCTGAGGTCGTTGGGCGATCGCAGGATCTCAAACGGCGACGGCAGCCGGACATCGCAGTCGGTCAGGTCGATGGCAAGCGGGCGGCCCATGGCGATGCTGAGGCTCCGGTCCGCCGTCACGCAGCAGCCCCACACCCGGCGCTTGCTCTCGGCAAAGAAGGCGTCGTCGTGGACGTCGTCCTTGCCGCTGGCGTCGCGGTGGAGGCCGAGGTCCTGCGCCATCCGTATCGCCGTCCCCGTGCGGCTCCAGGCACGAGAGCCAGACTGGACCGCGCTGGAGCCGTGCAGGTCCGAGTGCAGGCTGAGGATCAGCAGCGCCCGGACCGTGTTGGACGACGAGTTGGACAGGAAGTCGTTGTCCCGGAAGATGGCGTTGAGCGTCAGCTTGATGGCGCCCAGAACCTCGCCCGGCACGTCGCGGCTGAGGGCCGATACGCCGCAGATGGCGTAGAGGAGCAGCGGCGGTGGCCGCTGGATGTGGACGAACTCGGACTTGGTGATGACGGGGAAGAGGGTGGCGATCTTCTCAAAGTAGGTGTTGACCAGCTTCTCGACGACGTCGCCCGCCAGCCGGCCCTTGATCGAGTCTGGAATGTTGGTCACCTCGTCCTCTTCGTCGCCGCTCACCGAGTCGGCCCCGGACGACGCGATCCTCTGCTTTGGCGGCTTGTGGAACTTGATGACGCCGTCACCGCTCGCCCCGACCTCGAACGTCTGGTTGTGCTTGACGTCGTGCGCCTCGATGGCGGCGCCGGGCACAAACGCGGTCGAGTGGACAATGTAAGCGATCGAGGTGGGGCCCAGCACCTTTGCATCCGGCGGAGGCCAGGCAGGCCGGCCGCCCTCGTGGGCCACAGCCTTGTCGGTGCCTGCCAGTCGCGACGGACCCGACTGGCCCGGCGGGCTGGAGGAAGATGCGGCCGCCGCCGCTGCCGCCGCCACGGCAGACACTTCCGCGGCGGACTGACCTGGGGCGGCGGCAGCGGCGCCGAGGGGTCCGCTGGTAAAAGTGGGGAGCGTCGCCGCCAACCTCGACGGAGCGGCGGCGTGGTGATAGGACCACTCCTGCGAAGCGCTCGGCCGGAGCGGCGGGATCGCACTCGCGGCGGCGGCAGCAGAGGGACCAAAGTGAGCCGGCTGCCCCGGCAGCATGCCTGCATGCGGGTAGCCAGGGTGCGCCATCCCGTATCCCGGCGCCATGCCCATCCCCATTCCCATGCCCAGGCCCGACAGGCCCATCCGGCTCGCCGCCGCTGCTGCCTCCTCGGCCTCGCGCTCCCGCTTCTTCTTGAAGCGCGTCTCGGTGATGGGCAGGAAAAAGGTGCACTCGAAGCCGTACTGCCGGCAGTGGGCGCAGATGAGGCCGCCGTTGCCGTTGTTGACGTTGGCCATCGGCGGACCGCCGTCGTCGATGACGTCGCACCGGATCTTCTTGCGGCGGCACGAGTCGCATGCGCGAGCCGTCTTGATGCGCTTGCTCGAGCCCTTATCGCCGCCGCCGGCCTTGCCCTCGGGAGTGCCATTGGACGACGTCGCGGCGTGATCCGGTCCCGGCGCTCCGCGGACGGGGCTGCCGTTGCCCGTGTCGGATCCACTCCGAACACGCTCGTGGTGACCCGCAGTCGGAGAGCCCTTGCGTTTGAGGCCGCGCACCTCGCCTGCGGCTCCCTGGAGTTCGCCATCCGTGTCAGGCTTGCGCAGAGCGGCCAGCTGATGCGGTGCCGAGCTCAGCGTGTCTGCCTCAGCCGCCGATGGTGGCATCGCGAATCCGGGACGCGACGGCGGGCCGCCAGAGAGGGAGTAGCTCGGCGAGATGTGGTGGGCCGCTGACCCTACCGCCGCTAACCCTGCCGATGCTCGCTGCTGGTGGTGGTGGTGGTGGATGGATGAAGCGGGGCTGGCCACGGATGCGTCCGAGCCGGACGTGCCCGGCGCGTGGTTCCAGAGCGAGGGCGATGCAGACGAGGTCGAGGCGGCACTGCTGCTGTCGGGTCCGGTCGACATGCCAGGGACCGGTGGGTAGCGCTGCGGCGGCCGATGCAGCCCGCCGACGAGGTGCGAGCGCTTCGCGCTGTCAAAGGCGGTGCGCGAAGGCGGTCGGAAGGGGTCCGGATCCCTGCCGAACGATGGCGGCGAGGGGGCGAACGGCGGTGGCGGGAGGATGCGCGAGGATCCGGCCTCGGAGAGGGCCGAGACGGAGCGTGCTGGAGACGGAGCGCCCGACGGGGGGGAAAGCGCTGACGCTGCCCGGAACGAGGTATCGATGCTGGGCGCTGCGTGCGGCGAGGCTCTGCCAATGACGCCTGCGAAGCCCAAGAAGCCCTGCGATGGCTCCGTGAATGAATGGTGCGATGTCAATGCCGATGTCGAAGCTGAGGTCGGCTGCGGCAACGGAGGCGCTTGGGCAAGCCGAGAGGTCTGGCGTTCGCGGGGATCGCCACCGCGAGAAGAAGGGGCGTCGACGGTGTCGGGGCGGCTATCGTCGTCGTTGGCCGGTGCGGAGGCAGAGACGGGATCAGCGCCGACGGCAGTAGTGGTGGTGGTGGTTGTAGCAGAAGACGACGAGCCGGAAGGGTTCGGGCGGCGATGCAGCGTCGAGGACGGTGGGTGTCGATGGCCGTGTTGCTCCACTTTGCTCATCTCTGGGCCCTGCTCTGCTCGCCCTCGTTGGCCGGCGGGACGATTGCCCGGCGAAGACATGGTGGATGCACCTGGGCCCCGCCCGACTCCTGTCCTCTGCCGCGTCTCAGGAGGAGGAGGCAGCGGCAGCGGCAGCAACAGCAGCAGCCGCCTGGAGGGTGGCTTCGCAGTCGACCCGGATCTCGACGGCGGGGCGAGAAGGAACCCACCACGTACTCTGCTGATTCCTGGCCTGTGCCTATCTCTGCAGTGCGGCGACAATCGAGGCTCGGTCGACGCTGCGGACGCCGACGGGAAGGCGCACGTCCTCTGACAGGCGGGGCTGGTAGGTACGGTAGCTAGGCTGTCCCGCTTGGGCAGAGGGCCCGAAGTTGTCGAGAGCGGGCGGCGGCGGCGGCGGCGGCGGCGGAGAGGATGGGCGACGAGAGAGGTACGGTAGGTTGGCTGGGGCGAGGCAAGGCTATGATGGGCGTGCGTCGGCTGTAGCTTGCCGTTAGGGTGCGTCGTTGATCGTGGGGCAGCGGCAGGCACGCGTACAAGCAGGAGAGCGAGAGACGATGCGAAGTGGGTGTCTGTCTGCCTCGCCCGCTCGCTCGCTCTCTGGCCTGTCTCGGCGAGGCCGGGCGTTTGGTTGCCCGTCTGCCTGATTGCGTTCCGGCCAGCGTCTTCCGGTCGGCCGATGGGGCTGCCCGCCCCTTTGCCCGCGCCCGACCGGGATGAATTCGAAAAAGACGGATTTCTGGATGGCCCCGTCCCTCGACCCCGACCTCGACCTCGCCCTTGTCCTTGTCCTCGTCTGACCTCGAGCTGAACGTTGACCTCGAACTCGACCGGGAGCCTCACCTACACTTCTTCGGATTCCTGCCTCGCCACAGCGTACCGTGTTCGCTTCTCGCGGTGTCTGCGTAAGTAGCCGCGGCCACGAGCAAGTGCTTGCCCTGCGTCTTTCGCCGTCGTCGTCGTCGTCGTCGTTGTCCGGCGGTTCCCTGCAGCGCTATCGCCAGTTGCAAAGGATCCAGCCCGCTTCGCCTACTTGTTCGAGGTACCGAAGACTATCAGTACTGTATGTACTCAGAGCGCAGCGCTGCCTGTCGAGCCAATTGGCCGATCCGATTGGCGCACAGTTCCGCACTGAGGAGGAGGGGACAATGCAACGCCTTTCTCTCATGCCGGCTCGAAGTTGCCTCACGTCGTCGTCCGACCACTCGGTGGTCAGGAGCAACGTGTTAGCAGCTCGCCTGTGCTTACGGGCTGTCCACACATCGACTCCTGCTCTGGACAATTGGCACCGACGGCGCTGCCTAGGGGCGGTGAGAGACCACGTTGCTGCGGTTGCAGCTCGATGGGACCCAGCGAGAGCTAGTAGGGCGCGTGGAGAGGAAGCCATCGCTCCGCATCGTCGGCGGACGGACGTTAACCTGAAGGGTCCTTGGTATGAGGGCCGCTGTCCAGAGCCAATCAACAAGCAGAGACCCGACGAGGGCGATCAGGCGACTCATGGAGACCAACGGTAAGCAACGCGACGTCGGCTCGCACAGCCTCGTTCCCATGCGAACAACACAGCCCGCCGTGTTGGTACGGGTACGAGAGTGTAGCTACCGGTAGGCTGTCCTCTGTCTTGTTCAAGGAGCAACCGTGAAACAGTTCAAGAAGCAAGCGGCAAGCAAGCAAGGGGAAGCAAGGTCGCAACGAGAACCTGACTCACCGCGGCGGTGCGCGCCCCCTTCGTACCTCGGACTTGCGACGTCTGGGGTCTCGCGACAAGATCGAGTAGTCTCTATCGATCCTTCAAAGGGCTCGCAGCTCGAGCTCGCAGCTCGTACCTGCTTGCCCTCTTGCTCGCGCGCCCTGATAGTCTCGTCGATGTCGACCCGGACGGAGACGGGGACGAAGCGGTGCCGTACAAGGGCGAGGCCCGTCGCGACGTAGAGCTTCTTCCGATGGCTTCCCGGACCTTCGAGCCAAGCGACGGTTTTTCAGGCGGGGCATGATACGGCGGCAGACGTCTTGGCGATCAGCTGGGCAGGCCGGCCAGAGGCTACATACGCGGCTCTTACGTACGCGTATGTACGAACCTGAGCTTCTGATGGCAGGACAGAGCGGCGAGCGGATCATCTCGCATCGTTTCTTGGCCAGGGCCAGAAGGAAGGCCTGGTGCAGAGGGCATGACTCTTTGTCCCTCGTCCTGCATGCTCGATGGCGTGCGAGAGCGTCGTGGTCGGAGCTCGAGGCTCGAGGCGGACCGATATGAAGCAAGGCTCTCTCCGTTCGGGGGGGGGGAGCAGGCCACGAGGCAAAGGCAGATCGAGCAGGCTAGGGGAGGGTGCGCACAGAGCATGAACCTGGGTGCAGCCAGATTGGAGCCACGGGAGGCCAGGCCAGGGTATGCTCGGATCTTTGTCGCTGTGTGTGTGTGAGGGCCCCCCTCTCAAGTCCGATGGAAGATGGTGGCTGCTGCGATGCCGCTGTGCCCCGAAGGAGCCAAGCCAGCGGAAGGTTTTGGCGTGAGGCCAGGCAGGCGGCCTGGCCTAGCCTGGGCTGGGCTGGGCGTGAGCGGGCGTTCCTGTGCCGGTTTTCGGCACGACCTGCATACGCCCGCCTGGCTCGGTGAGGCGCGCCGACGAAAGCCGTGCCGCGGCGACGGGCGGCAACGGGCCTGGCCAAACGGCGCGGAGTCGATGGAGGACTTCAAGGCGAGCACAGGCAGCGGACCGCCTCCTTACTTCAGCCTGTGTCAGATGCATGGGGGGAAGGGCTCGTGTCGGAACCGAAGCTCGTACCATGCCGGTGGTCGTCGCCCCCGTGCTGCACTTGCCTAGCCTGGCCTGCCGTCAGACGGTCACTTCTCCGACATGTTCGTCGTAGCAGACCGGCAGTCCACAGTAGTCTGCGGCGAACAGCACGACACCAGAAGATGACAGGTATCGCGAACGACAGCGGCGTCCGGTTCCTTGGTCGTTGCCAGCGGGGTGCGCGCCGTGGGTCGTCTATGTACAAGCAGGGTGAGTGGATCGATGGTGTTGGGACAGGGGTTGCCAGGCCAGCGATGGTGCTGGGACAGGGGTGGCCAGGCCAGCGAGGGTCGTGGAGCCGCAAGGCATCGCGCAGGAAGGTCGGCGCTGCGCTCAGCCGGACTTGACCGGTGCGGTGCCGGCGTCGTCGACGATGTCCTCGGGGTGCTCCTCCCTCCACCACTGGACGCTGCGCTTGATGGCCTCCTCCATGCCGACGAGGGGCTCGTACCCGAGCACGCGGCGCGCCTTTTCGATGTTGTAGTACCGCGCGCTGGCCGTGTATGTGACCTTGTACTTTGTGAACTGCACCTCGCGGCCCGTCAGCCACGCAAACGTCTCGGCGTAGCCCGCCAGCGTGAGCCCCCAATCCTTGCTGAGTCTCCACACCTTGTTGTCCGGCACAACGTGGCCCATGCCCGCCCACAGCGCCCGCGGAAAGTCCCAGAAGGGCATCGGCTGGCCGTTGGTGATGAAGAAGGCCTCGCCGGCCACGGGTACCGAGTCCTCGACCAGCGGGAACTCGGGAGAGAGCGGCGAACCGGCCGAGGGCACGTCCGGGTTCATGATGTGGAAGAACTGGTCGTAGCGGTTGCGCGCCACGGGCCGCACGTCGAGCGTCGACTCGAGCGTCTCTGGGCTCAGCGTCGACGGCAGGCGGCGCGCATAGTCGGTCGAGCCGGCGGGCGTGTCCTCGCGCGCCTCGCTCGTGGGCACCTCGCGCACGCCGGCCTTTTCGTCGCTTGCCACCACTTTGGACTCGAGCACCTCCTCTGACAGCTCGGCAGCGTCGGCGCCGGCCGTGTACAGCTTGTCGGCGGCGAGCAGGTGCGCGTGGACGACGTTGTCGACGTAGGTCCAGTCAAAGAGGTTGGAGTTGTCGCCGATCTGGAACTTGGTCTTGCCCGTCCGCAGCACCTGCATGAAGCCGGGCAGCGCCTGCCTGTCGCCGATGCCAAAGATGCCGGCCGGTCGGATGGCGCACGTCCGCAGCTCGCCGGCCTCGAAGCCGTTGGCCTCGAGCACCGCCTTCTCTGCCTTGGCCTGAGAGAGAGCGAGGTAAAGAGAGAGAGAGAGAGGGAGAGTGGGGGAATGGAGGAATGGAGGAAAGGAGGATCGGAGTCAGACGATATGCCGGTAGAGGCTCCCGACCGGCAGGCACTCACCTTGGTGTCGTTGTAGGCGTCGAGGGGCTTCTCGGGGAAGGGCATCCTCTCGTCGACGTTGATCAGGCTGTTGCCGTCAAAGACGACGCCTGCGCTCGAGGTAAAGACGAGCTTTGTGACGGCGAGCTCCTTTTTCTGGGCGACCTTGATGACGGTCTGGGTGCCGACGACATTGACCTTCTCGTAGACGTCGGGACCGAGGCCAGCGACGGGGCTGGCGGTGTGGTAGATGACGACGCCCTTGGGTTCCTTTGGGCTGCCGAGGTTGGCCGGGTCGATGTCGGCGGCGTCGCGGGCCTGGATGAGGGCGTGGCGGAGCGACGTCTCGGAGGTGATGTCGCCGGTGTAGTACTCGACCTTTTCAATGGGCTGGCGCGACGGGTTGAGGTCAAAGACGGAGACGTGCTTCTCGCCGCGCTGCTTGAGCGCCAGGGCGATGCGCGAGCCGAGGAAGCCGGCGCCTCCAATAACAAAGTGGGCCTCGCCGGTAGGCTTGGACGTCGACATGGCGGCTGGTAAGATGTCGAGAGGGAGCGAGCCGACGTGTGGGGGGGAAGATGGAGGGAAGGAGAGGGAAGCCGCAGGGAATTCGAGGATGAGGAGGGGAAGACGAGGCGGCGGCGGCGGCGATGGTGGTTGTGCGCCAGGTGGCAGCTGCTGCTTCGAGCCATGCAAGCCAGCCTGCCTGCCTGCCGACCCGAGCGAGCGAAGAAAGGTGCAGGCGGTGCCACGAGCGCGCGGGCGAGGCGGGGGCCAAAGTGGTCCGTTCTTCGCACCGCGGGCACCAGCCCAGAGGCTAGGAGGGGGGTCGCTCCCCCGCGTTTGTTTCGACAGGCCTGGCCAGGCTAGGAGGGCCCACACGCAGCCCACGCCAGCCAGCCAGCCAGACAGCCAGCGTCTCGGATCTTTTTTCTCGGTCTTGGCTCGCTCGGCTTTCTCCCTGCCCGCCTCCAGGTCTCCCTCTCTGGCTCCATCCCCCTACGCCAGCCACCACGCGCGCAGTCAGACAGGCCAGACAACTGCGCTCTTCGACGGCACCACCAGTCTATGGCAGATGACAGAGAGTAGCAAGAGGAGATGGGCGAATTGGCAGGTGCAAGTACAAGTACAAGTGTCGATGTTTCGTTTGCATGCGGGACGATGCTCTTCTAGGTGCGGGCCCGCGCGGGACGGGGCCTGGTGCGGATATCCGGTCGTGTCTAGTCGTGAGACCGGTGGCGAGTGGTGGTGGTGCTGCGCGGCGAGGCGAGGCGACCCGGTTTCTCTGCGCTACTGCTCCTTGCGCTTCTTGCGGGCCTCCCACTTGCTCGAGAGGCCGACTCCGCCGAGACCACCAGGCTGCTGGTCGCCTTCGCCACCGGGGGCGCTGCCATCACCGGCATCGTCATGCCGACCATCGGAGGAGACGCCGGCGTAGAGCGGACCGCGCCTCTCGTGGGCTTCGTCGCCAGACGCCGCCTTCGAGGATGGCGTCGTCGGGAAGGGGTGCCTAGGGTCACCCTCGGCATCCGACATGTGCTGCGCCAGCGCCTGCTGGTACTTTTCGTCGATCCTCATAAACGGCGAGACGAAGCGCGTGCCGTTGTTGGCGTTGCCCGACGTCGGACCGCCGTAGTAGCCCGACATGGTCGCCGAGGCTAGTGGGTAGGCGGGCACCGAAGCGGATGCCGGTGCGGGCGACCTCGACGACGAGCCAAAGGGGAACCACCACCGACGTTTGCGCCCGCCGCCGGCGCCGCTGCCGTACTTGTCGGAGCCGTACTTGGACGGGCGTCCGGCGGCGCCCCTGGTCATGCCAAACGGCTCGCGCAGCTGCAGGCCGACCCTGCGAAGGCGCTGCAGCTGGCGGAGGCCGTAGGCCGAGACGACGGCCGCCGTCAGGATGGCAAAGGCGCTCGAGACAAAGAAGGCGTACTGGTCCTCTTCAAAGTGCGACGTCAGGTTCATGCCAAAGAGGCCGGCCCACAGCGTGCCGGCCGAGATGCCGAGCGTGGCGATGCTGGTGCGCAGGTCGAGGGCGAGCAGCTTGTTGCGGTTGTTGTCGAGGATGAGCTCGACGACCTCCTGGGTATTGTTCATGTCGTTGTGGATCTGCTCAGTCTCGGCGAGCACCTCTTCGACCTGCTTGTCGAAGCTCTCGAGGAGCAGCTCGAGCTCGTCCATCTTGCTCTGCTCGGTGCGCGCCTGGCCCTGCTTGGAGTCGGTGAGGTACATTAGCGCCATGTCCTCGTCGTCGTCGAGCACCTCGGTGACGGCGCCCTTGACGCCGCGGCTGCGGCTGAGGAAGCTGTTGAGCTTGCGCGACACCTGGAGCAGCGCGCGCAGCTTCTCGCGGTCGACGTCGTCGTCGAGGCCCTCGAGGATGCGGCTGGCCCAGCTGCGGATCAGATCGAGTTCGATGCGCAGCGCATCCAGCACCGAGACCAGGATCGACTCGAGCGCGCGGAACTCGTAGGGCAGCGTCGACGACGTCTGGCGCAGATTAAACTGGAGGTTATAGACGAATGCCGAGTGGAGCTGGGTGTCGGAGCTGCCGTAGCTGTCAAAGAGGAGGACCATGTCGGCCTTGATCATGGCGCGGATGTGGAGGATGTTGACGAGGATGCCGTCCTTGCGGGCGAGGATGGTGGGGACGAGGTTGGGCACGCGCGAGTCGATCTTGCGCAGGTCGCGCGGCTCGAGGCCGTGGTCGGAGCAGAGCTTCGACTTCTTGAAGACGCCGCTGCTCGACTTGGCCAGGCCGGCGGCGTCAAAGATGGTGCAGCGCAGCAGGATGTCCGGGGAGAGGTGGGTGGTCCCTAGCCCGGTGAGGCCATCGCGAGGGGGGCCCGGCGGCGGCTCGGCGACGTAGGGCGTGGGTATTGTCGGTGCAAGCCTCGAACTGGCGCTGGATGAGAGCAGGCGTATCCGCGGAGGCGAAGCGGCGTGCGCTTTTGGCAGTGACCCCGTCGGGCGATTTCCATAGAGCAGCGGCGGAGAGGCGGTCCCGACGTGTCGGGGCGAGGCCCGTGCCTTGCCCTTGTCCGTGGCTATTGAGGAGCAGACGGTCGAGTGCCATGTCGCAACGAAAGGCGGTGCGGCGGAGGTCCAAGAAGCCCGTTCCGGCGGTGGCGGAAGAATCCTGCAAGCGGCGAGCCTGGAATCCGCGGCGTAGGAGGTGACAATGTTCCGGACGCCCCTTGGTGCGTGTGGCGTGGCTGCGCGGTGTGATGAAGCTGTGTGGCGGATCTGGCGAGCGACCGCCCTCGAGGTGGAGCGGGCGCCGGAAGCCCACGACATGTGCGAGGCAGGCGAGGCTGGCTGGCAGCTTCAGGCTGTTGAGGATAGCCTGGCGAGGAGATCGTGGGAGGGGGGCCTCGGTGGTGGGAAGGACGTCGTCGAGGTTAGGAGCGAAGGTCGAGGCTCGCATTTGGCTGGAATTTTCGACCGACTTTTGGTGGCGGGCTGCATGCAAGAGTCGATCACCCGTTGGGGCCCTCTGCTTCTCCACCCACCACCACCACGACCACAGCCGCTGACGTTCTCCTCAACCCCCATCCACCGACACAGCAAGCCACATCCTCGCTCTTCCCGCCCCCTTCGAGCAGCAACCACGACCGCCGCCATGGCATCGACGCAGCAGCAGCAGCAGGACATTGCCGGTGCAGGCACCAACGGCAGGCCCATCGTCTTCATGGACATCACCATCGGCGAGAACCCAGCGGGGCGTATCAAGTTTGAGCTCTTCTCGGACATTGTGCCAAAGTAGGTGTCCGAGCGGTGCGATGCAGCAGTCGCAAGTCCAAGCGACCGCCACTGACGCTGCTCGATGTCCAACCCGCTCGATCTCTTTCTTGACCGCCCCGCAGAACCGCGGAAAACTTCCGGCAGCTGTGCACGGGCGAGCACCGCCTCAACCACCAGCCGCAGGGCTATAAGAACTCGATCTTCCACCGTGTCATCCGCGACTTTATGTGCCAGGGCGGCGACTTTCTCAACGCCGACGGCACGGGCAGCCTCAGCATCTATGGAGACAAGTTCGAAGGTGAGAGAGGCGCACAGGACCGCCGAACTGGCGCGAAGATGGTGGTCGCGCCCTGTCCGTGACACACTGCGCTGACCGTGCCGCTGCCTGTCTTGATTCACTTCGCTGGCGGCCAGACGAGAACTTCGAGCTCAAGCACGACGCACCTGGCCTCTTGAGCATGGTGAGTCCACCGCCTAGCGCAAGACGTCCTGTCAGCGACGCGTGCGGCGACCGGGGCGGGCTGACTGACACCCACCGGCCTTACCTCGTGCGCTCCAACGCCCTGGCCCCTCACAGGCCAACTCCGGTCCAGGCACGAATGGCTGCCAGTTCTTCATCACCTGCCAGCCCTGCGACTTCCTCGACGGAAAGCACGTCGTCTTTGGCAAGGTCGTCGAGGGCCTCTTGACGCTGCGCAAGATTGAAAACGTCCCCACGGGCGCCAATAACCGACCCAGAATACCCATCCGCGTCACTGGTGAGTGCGGCTCAGCGTCGAAGCGTCGCAGCGGCGGGCTGACAGCGCGCGAAAAGGCTGCTGATGAGGACTCGATCGCCCTTTGTCGTGCTGCTCAGAATGCGGAGAGATGTGAAGGCCGCCTAGAAGAAATCGAAGAGACACACGGACCGGCAGTCGAGTGAAAAGACAGACTGTGACCCCGAGGCGAGCGGACGTGATGGTATGGGTTCGATTGCACGTGGACCGAGCTCGGATGTCGAGGTCACAGCGAATCAGCATCGGCATCAGGCCGTGGCAATCTTGGGCTTGCCCGGGACGACAATCTCGCCCTCGACGGCGCGCGCCTCGATGCCGATGCGCGGGAGGATGGCGTGGTAGCGTGCTGGGCTCTGGCGCTTGAGGTACTTGAGGATCTTGGCGCGCTGCTGGACCAGCAGCGTCATTGCCCGCCGGTTCGAGTTGTCGTGGCGTGCCGCTTGCAGGTGCGATGCGAGGTTGCGGATGCGGTAGGTCAGTACGGCAGCTGTGGGGCGGAGGGTGCGATCGGAGTGATTAGATGGAGGGAGTACAGAAGAATCGTGGTCAGCGATTGCAGCACGGACGAGACGGGATTGCAGCGGCGGGACCACTCACCCTGCACCTCGGCGCTGCCGGTGTCGACGCCCTTGCCGAGCTGCTCCATCTTTTCGCGCTGGCCAAAGTGGTTGACGATACGGCGGATGTTTTCGACCTGGATGCCCTTGCCGCTGGCGTTCCTCAGGTCGAGGACGCGCGAGAGGATCGTCGAGGCGGACTGCTCCTCCTGGATGACGCGGGTGTACTCGTCCTCGAACGCGCCGACGTCGGCCGGGTTGGGCGTGCCCTTCATAATGACGCCGAGGTTGGCCGAGTCGAGGATGCGGTCCTTGACCATGATGGTGGGCAGCGACTGGAAGAGGAGCTGGCGGTCGCTTGCGTCGAGGCCAAAGTTGAGGCGGCGCGGGCCGCCAAAGGCCTCGGCCTCGAGCCGCTCGGCGCGGTCGTAGGCGCTCTCGAGGGTTTTGGGCTTGGCCTTTGTCGAGACGAGGTTGCCCCGTCGGTCCTCCTTGACGCCCCACACTTCTTCCTTGTCGAGGATGAGGCGCGCCAGCTCGCTTCCTTCCCACACCTTCTGGCCCGCCTCGTCGAGCTGGTGGCCGAGCACTGGGTCCGGCTTCGACGACTCGAGCATGCGCACCTTGAGCATGCGCTGGTCGAGGTTGTTCTTGCGCTTCAACCGGGCGGTCCGCTTCTTGCGCGATTCCGACGCGGGCGCCGACGTGTGGAACGACGAGCTGCTCGGCTGGTACGACGTCGACGGCAGCGATGCGGCGAGGCTGCCGAGGTTGAGGGCGCTCGAGCGAGAGGCTGTGCGATGAGGGTGGGCGTGAAAGATGGCGTCTCGTCAGCGGCT